ATCATTTTTTTCAATTTCGCCTTTGGTGCGCCTTATACGGTTCTAAATTCGCAGTGAGCCTAGCATCTCCTATCCTCTTGCTCAGGCTTTTTGTGTACTACCTTTAATTGAAGGCACAATTAAAAAATAATCACGACCTAAACATAAACGTTAGTGAAGACGTGTGCAAAGTTTCATCAAGCTGCATTCATTAGTTTGGGAGATATTTTAGGCTCACTGAAACTTGTGGATCGCGAGCCCGGTCGTAAAAGTGTCTGAGAGGTCTTATATATGCATATATATAATTCCCTTAACGCTTGCAGTAGTGTATTTTGAATAAATAGCTTCGTTGTTGGAAAGGTTAAGCTCGGTTTTGATTATAAAAACTTATGTGCATGAAACGTGCTACGAATTTGCTTTTATCGCACTAGTTAAAATTGAAACGAATTTTGACAGCGCTCGCAAAAAATATTGTCTGTATATAGCTTTTTTCTTAGCTTTATCATGATTGAAATTACTTAATTAATGATTGAAATTACTTAATGCTTATTATACCTGCTATGAAAATTCTTTCCAAAAAATTCATCCTAAAATTGTCAATGCGACTGGTCTGACAGAAGTGTGTGGGCCATCCCATAAGCGTGGCATAGCGTAGCCATCTTGACGCCACTTCGGCACAATTTTTTTCTCCATTCGTTAGCAATAGATATGAAATTTAATGCAGACATGTAAATACTCATTGAGCAGTATCAATGTTGTTTTATATTCACATCCTCTTGTCTTCAATTAATACGGCAAAAGAGTGGAACCTAACCTAGCCAAACTTAACCAAAACTGTTTAAATTGGGAGCAGAGGAAAGATGAAAAAATATCCATGCCACAAAGCAATTGGCATTGAAACTGTGTATTTAATTTCATAAATATTGATTACAAATAGAATGAATGGGCCGTGTCAAAACGGGATGGCAATAGTGCATGCTAATGCACAAGCAATTTTTTCGATGCTGTCATTTTTATTACCTATATTCAGGAATATTTTTACAAGTAATATCACGTTTGAATAAGCGAACTGATATGACGGTTGCGAATGATTAGAAGGCATGATTATGCTGCCGGAGGTTAGTGCTTATGCTGCAATTAATTTCGTACTTTCTTCCGCAGCGCGGGAAAATAACAATCTAATCCGCGATCAATTTTGTAACGGCTAATTGCACGTCTAAATGCGTACCACGCACAGTCACGCACTGGCATACATTTTGCAGTAATTCGATATAGACCAGGTCCAGAATTTGTAGTCGTTTAGTGTACCATTTAATAATGAACTTTTAATAAGGAGCTATTCCATTCGTCGTGCAAATTTACGTACTAACAGATTACAAGACTTACAGAAGTGGTATTTCAAATGATGAAAAGTGAACGAGTGAAGTGATTGATAGTGAACGAGTCCAAATAGAGGTTTCCCCAATTCCTAGATTGCCACCATGCATCGAACTACTGCCAAAACACTAGGTCTTGGCCATCTAGCGGGAAAATATTGAGATCCAAAGAGAATAACCAGTGAGATCATCGAAAAATGTGTCAAATTTGACAGTTGACCTTGCTCTACCAAATAGTGAATAACTGTTTGTATAGGAAGAATATTATGGTTTGAGACTTTTAAATATGTCTGTGAATATATTAGGAATCCTTTAAGTATACTTGTATTCGCTGATTTCAAGTGGTAAATAAATTAATAGATAATTAAGTTGAGAAATGGATTTAGATACATGAAAACTAATTCCGTCACAACTTGAATTGGACACACACAGATCGTTCCAAGCTATGTACAAAAATTAAAATTTGCCTAGTTAAAAGCTTAATAGTTGTTAATTAAAAGCGTAATTAAGTAGTGTTCAATATTCATTAGTGTTCTAATTCATAGTCATGTTGTATTCCAATACAGCTCACACAGCGAACGGAATTCGAACACGTGGATGACGGCATTACGTATCAGTAGAATTTGAAGCGCGGACGGAATACGCCTCACCACGTGCCGAATATTGCCACACACAGTGTCGGAATATAGAGATTTGGTAGGTTTGCATTCTAAAGGCTTTTAAATAAGAATGGCAACATTTTGTGACATTTCATTGTTGCTGGCACGTAGTACGGTGTTTTGCAAGTCACATAAAGCAAACAGAACTCGAGTAACGCATACGGTTATTTTTTTATAGTTTTTCATTTCTCGATGCATCCTTAATGTGTCGGATTATACCGCGTTTACCCTAATTCTGACACTTCTCGACTTTTTTCCTTTATATTAAGCTTTTTCTTAGTTCCATGCATATGTTGACGGTTAAAATAGTGACATAATACTTTGCGCGCCATACTATTGTGGGCTTGCCAAAACACTAGGTCTAGGCCATGGGCTGTCAGTGCCGTCTGGTGGGAAAATGTTGAGATCCAAAGAGAAACAGTGCGTGTCACCCAGTGAGAACATCGAAAAGTGTGTCAAAGTTGATAGTTGACCTTGTTCTACCAAATAGTGATAAACTGTTTGTGTAGAAAGAATATTATGGTTTGAGACTTTTAAATACGTCTGTGAATATAATAGGAATCCTTTAAGTATACTTGTATTTGCTGATTTCAAGTGGTAAAAAAATTAATAGATGATTAAATTAAGAGATGGTTTTAGACACATAAAAACTAATTCTGACGCATCTTGTAATTAGACACACACAGCTCATTCCAAGCTGTGTGCAAAAATTTAAATTTTCTTAATTAAAAGTCTAATTAAGTGTGTTCAATATTCAATAGTATTCTAATTTCAAGCTGTGTCGTATTCCAATACAGCTCACACAGCAATCGGAATTCAAACACAAGAGTGTCGGCATTACGAATTAGTAGAGTTTGAAGCGCGGCCAAAATTAGTCTCACAAAATGCTTAATTTAGTCACACACAATGTCGCAGGATGGAATTCTAGTTTTGAAGATTTATATATTATTTTGATCCACCAAGACCACTTTTTCTACCCAACATCGTTATTTGAGGCAAAAAATTAACTTCTTGAAGGCTTAAAACCCATACTGTAAAATGGGGTAACTTAGACCACTTTTTTATAAATGAAGGCATTTTTTTACTAGCTTAATTAAACTTGAATTGAAAAGTGCAAAATACAGGTCTATACTCTAACTCCACTCACCATAAATTGCTGGCTCCTGCCTCTCATAGTCTATGTAATTTCAAAAAAAGTGATGGTCTTTGTTACCTCAGCTCTTGGGGTACCATAAAATGGGGTAACTTAGACCGGCGGGGTAACTTAGACCACTTTTCGTTTTTTTTACAAAAACCCCCACAACTCAAAAACTATTTGACATAGAAAAATTTTGTCAATGGGCATTAAAGGCCTAATACTGAGGCTACATAACACAATAGNGCCATTTTTTTTTGACTGAGATAGGCAAATTCCATCAATTATGTTTTCAAGCTGACACCTGGGTGCAACTTTTATGTAAGTAAAATTTTTAGACCGGGTATCTTAGACCGGGTGGTAGAATCAATTATATTTTTTGGTAAAATAACTCCAAGTCTCCAAATAACTCCAGGTTTTGGTACATTGTAGTAGAACTCTTTTAGTTACATATGCAAATGACAAACTTGAGGAAAGTGTCATAATTTGCAAATGGGGGGTGCCGCCCCATAATGGGGTAATGAGACTACCTAATGGCAGCCCTGATGGGGTAAATATTGACTGGCTTGGAAATTAAGTTAAAATTACCATATATAAGACTCTGTAGAGTCTGAAACATAAAGAAAAAACATAAATAGGCTGTCAAACAATTCAATTTGTCATTTGCATATGTAATGTAACTAGAAGAGTTCTACTACAATGCATCAGAACCTGGAGTTATTTACCCAAAAATTAAAAAAATTGGAGGGGGTACTCTGACAGGCCTTAGATAATAGCTTTTTTTTGTGGGTCACATTTATAATTTTTTAACCTATTAGATATGCAAACTTTTTAAATCTTTCTATTGTGTTATGTAGCCTCAGTATTAGGCCTTTGATGGCCATTGACAAAATTTTTCTATGTCAAAAAGTTTTTGAGTTTTAGGGGTTTTTGTTAAAAAAACGAAAAGTGGTCTAAGTTACCCCATTTTACGGTACCTCTAATTTACCAGTTACTATTCATTATCTTATGTATGTTATTGCTAGCATCCATTATACTTTCTGGTATATACCTATTGGAGTCAATAAGAAAGGCTTAAAAAAGTCTTGTTTTTGCCATTATGACCATTTGGAGCAAATCCAGTGTAGTGCGCAGATATAAATTTTTAGTTTGTATGTATACCATGTAAGATGGAAACCTATTATTGAGAAAGTATTATTCTAAAATTCGAGTTCTGAATGCATTGCAAGAAAGGTAGAGCAAGTACCAAAGCAACAATGTATTTGTGTTTGATTCCCATGTAATTTTGAATGTAATGAACAGGAACAAAAGAAACTGGCGCTTAGACTTGTAAACATGAATTTTCAGAAACAGGAGTTTGGAAATGGCCATTAGACTTAGAAACATTGCAGTTGAAATAAGATGTGTATTGTTGGATTGTAGCTCCATACCTAGTGAATTTTATAAACTTATGTTGAAAGTTAACACAATTGTTTAAAATGCATGCATAAGAAGGATGCTTAAAAATCAGAAAGGTGATATTTATGTATTGGTTATAATATATTGGTTTTAAGGGGAGCGTCTACTCTAAAATTAAAAATTTCCACTTTTTCGGTTTTTATACTCATTTTAAAGCTGACATTCTGCCCTATCCAACGGTACCACTGCCATCTCTCTACGTTGATTTATGATTTCACGGCATTTCAATTTTTGGCCGTTTTCTAAGAATTTCACGTTTTCTTTCATTTTTTTCGAAAAATTCACACGAACAAAAATGTCTTAGAATTCTGTTTTACATATGTGTACCAAGTTTCAGAGTGATCCGTTCGTAAATAGCCGAGATAAATTTTAGGGTAGACGCTCCCCTTAAATCAGGAGAATATTTGACCAGCCAATCAACTGTATGGAAACACATGAAAATATTTGTTGGGCACCAGGAAGACCCATGCCAAAGCCAAAAATTTGTCTGTAACTCACGACAAGGGCATTGACATCTTTAAACAATGAATTGACAGATTTAAAAAGTTTCAGGAAGTGGTATATTTGTATATAGATTTTTCATGTCAAATGAGGCCACAGCTAAGGCTCTGCATTAGTGAGACATGAATTCTGTGAGACACCATGTGCAGGACAAATGAGGCAAATGGCAGATTCTGTTATCTCCCCTCTATCTTGTAACCTCTACAACCATATTTCTGTCACTGAAGGGTAAAAGGAAAATGGGCAGTTTTCTGGTAGACAAGGAATGGCCAGCAATAATGGGATCCCACCAACCCTATAAATCAGGCCTCAGCTCACAGCTGAGGTTTTGAGACAGGTTTTCCACACATTCTGTGAGGCCAGGCCCTTCAATGAATGACAAAACTGTGACAACTTTGTATGATTCTGTGGAAGTTTCACTGCCCAATTAGTTTGATTCATTTATCTACAAGAAGGATTCTAATTCAGAAATGCAAGGTATGTATACCATGAAATGGTATGCCTTGCATTTATGAAAATAATGTATAAAATGAGTGTTATTAGTAAGCATTTGTTTTTAAATTTCTTGTTTTTGCATAGGAGATGGAGCTAAAAATTTAATGTAACGTATGTGCCAGAGTATTGAAGCATTGCAACTTTGTTGAGATTTTAACTTTTTCAGAATTTATTTTAGGTAAATCTTAGGATCTGGTATATTTATATTGAATAAATCAACTGAGAATCTGGCTGAAATATTTTGAGATCATCAGGCCTCCAGGTGAGTTAACTGAGGCTACTGTAACCTGGTTACACACATCTATGTGTAGGTATATTTGATTGTGAACCGTGTATATATGTACTCCATTTCTGCTTTCAAGGAAATCCTTCTACCTGAGCATGTACTATTATTTAAATGAAAGAAATTATTCATAATCATTTATTATTATGACTTCAAGTAATGTTTTTGGACTATTTGTAATTGCTCTAAAGTGTAAAGCTTGCAACTGATCCTTAGCTCAGAATTTAACTGTTACAATTCTGTTGTTAATCTCTTAGTAACTTTCTCAATTTTTTCAGATTAATGGAAGACACTCAGTCGAGTAAGAACAGGTGCCATGAGCTCCAGAAATATAAAACCACACCTCATTTGCATCCAAAGTTTGCAGAGCAGCGGGAAAAATTCTACAATCTAGTGAAATCAGATTCACTTTATGAATCTGACTGGGAAGCATATTGGCAGGACTTCCTTGAATCTGATTGTACTGAAACTCTTCCTCTGAAAATGGATATGCCAATTGCACCAAATATGACCAAGGATAAAAATGGCATTGATATTGATGATGATAAAATAGAAGAATTGATCAATGATCCTGACTTCTTGGATGATCTAGATTGTTTAGGAGATGAATTTGGATCAATTATGCAGGATGAGACATGTGCTGGCAACTCTTCTATTGCTGCCACTGGAAAAAAAGTTTCAGATGATTCTATTGAGGTGATAGATGAAGTGAACTTGAAGTCTATAGCAGGGAATTATTTTATAGAATCTATGCAAATGTTAACTAAAATGAAATACTATTTTGGAAGTAAATCTTCTTCAATTGAGGGTATTAGAGACAAGTGCTTGAATTGCATTGAGGGTGGAGAAAATCCTTTTACTGTAATATCTAAGGAAGATATCACATTTCTCAATTCTATTGTTGCAGAAATTCATGATCTAAGTGAGCATGATCAGGTGCCTGAAGCTCACAAGGCATTACTTAAATTGGCAGGCAAAGAACTCAGCCGTGCTCTTGCTAAACCAAAGACAGATTCTGATATTTTCTTTGGTGTCAGCATCAGGAACATTGCACATGCAACTGTTGGCAGTGATGTGGCACGTATAATCAGCTTCATTGAGAACACTTTAATTTACAAAGGCTTGCTGCATGTCTCCAAATCTGATATTATGAGAATATTTCTTGCTGTGCGAGCTTTACAGTTGAAGATCTGTACAGGTTCCAAGTGATTTATCAAATCTTGTCTGTCTTAGTATTAATGAATTTTATTGTCAATTTTTGGCATGGTTTGTAGATCTGTGGTAGCATGTTCCAGACTGAGCACTAATTTTTATGAACACATTGGTATGAAAGTGACACTGAGCTCATAATAATCCTCTTGAAAAATGTTATGAAATGCATTTATTTTCATGTAAATCTTCAAGATGGGTGTTTGGTTGCTTTTATATCAATTTGAATTATAAATTTAAAAGTCACTGCCATCAAGAACCATCAGTTATTTTCTATGAACATGTGTATGTGATATAGCCTATGTATATCAATATATTCTATGGAATTTTTTAGCATTGATCATTCCTCCTGTTGCTGGCAATGCTTGATGGAACCTTTTTTTCTTTGTCTTCTAAAAAAACCTTTGGTGTTCCTTGCTAAGTTATCAAGGAAATATATATGCTACAGAAATGTGTATAAATCCACGAAGTGGTAATATCACAATGTTTGATTCCATTTCTGATTATATTTGTGAAGCAAGACTATGTTCTGAAATTTGATTGCAAAAAATGTTGATGAATCAAGATTCTCTTGTGGAATTTAAGGGGAACCCTAATTTATCTTATGACCTCGGTGTGGATGTTTAATTGTAAATAAAGAATTCAATTAAAGAAAACTGTAGTTCCATGTATCCCTCCAGATCTATGATACACTAAATAGAAACTAATTAAATTAATTTGCAAAATATTGAATTGACTGGAAACAAAAATCAGTTAATTTAAAGTATTTGCACCTTATGCTCCTCTATAGAGTTTTCAGATCATTGGGAATGTAAATTAATAAGCTTTTATCAACAATAGCAGAGTAATCTTGCTCCTCAATCTGCTTCAAAGGCATATAGGTAGCCTATCCCGCAGGGGCAGCAGACATGGCCTGCTGTAGGGGTATGCACATTCCCCCGGGCCCAGTAATGCTCATTGACTACATCAATTGGAGTCGAAGTCAAGTATTAGGACAATTTTATATTACTGCATAAAATAAAATGTTTGTTAAACACTTAACTTTGTTCACCGATAATGAAAATCTTAGTCAAACATAATAATTTGTTCAAAGTCCAGTCATGCTGTGTTACCACATTCTTGTGTGTTATTAAAATCAATTCCCTCTAGGCAATGGAACAACATTAAATACAAGTTGGTTTTGTTTATAAATCAACTTATTTCAATTATCAGATGTCTGTTGTGGAAATTAGCTGCGTTAAGGTCGGGGCCCTGATCATTGACATGAAACCATTCCCTGTTTTTAATTAATAAAATCAATTCCTTTTTTTTTTGTTGGAATGGTGAATGTGGGAGGCCTTTTAAAAAAATTAGCTGTTCATTTTAATGTGTCAAGTCTCTCACACTCACTTCACCTCAATATCTTGTTAAACTTAAGCATCTCATATTACTTCGTTTCTCATTTTTTTCTAGGCTTTGGCAGCAAATTCTATGGTCAAAGCCTAATTATGATTGAGATAAACATTGAGCATAACATGTTGCAGTAACTCCTCCAATGTATGCTAACTTCGGAGTCCTGGTCTCAATACTAGGTTTTTTTTACAGGAGCAAATTGCAGAGCATGGCTTTAGTCTAGCCTTGGATTCACAACCCTGATGCATGCTCAGGTCAGCCACTACTTTTTTCTCCAAATAAAAGTTCTTATGTCAGTGTGTTATGCTAACAAATTAATTTTCTTAAAAATTCTTCAACCAACAAGTAGCTATGCTCTTATTTTATGACTGCCTGTAATCAATTATTGAGGCATATTTATTTTAATTTTTGATAACATCCAATAATTTGGAGTTTAATCAAGTAAAACACCTTACCTGAGCTAATTGATACAACTTGCACATTGTTTTGTTGTGTTGATTGTGTGCTGCTTATGCAGAGAGGTGGGCATGTGATCCACGCTGCTTACCTTGTCTCGGCCTGGCGCTACTAGAAGACAAACGCCTCAACAAAGCCGTTTCGCTATAGCTTTGAAGACAGTCTGGTGAGTGAATTTTACCACTTCTGATGCTTTCTTTACTTCTATTTATGATCAGATATTTATATTCTATGATTGACATATTCATCGTTTGACATATTCCTGTGTAATTTTCAAGAAGCTTTCAAGACTTGTGTTTGTGCAGGTCATGACTGGCCTGAGGAAGAGAAATAACAATGGGGCGGCTTATATCACTACTAGTATGGTGCACAGCGGAGAGAGTGAAGGGGACAGCGGCTTTGTGACCCCTGATAGCACAACAAGCTGTGGTGACAAGAAACCAGAGCGTTGCAGCTGCAAAGCACAGCACGTGGTGGCAGAAGAGGTGCTGTCTCACAGCAAAGATGGCCGCTTCTATCTTGGCACCGTCATTCAAGTGGATGAAGTTGAGCAGCAATGTCTCGTCCAGTTTGCTGATGATACTGCACACTGGTCACTCTACAAAGATTTGCGTACCCTCAGGCAGCCCACACCTGCGGAGACGTGCTGTGTTGTGTGTAATTCAAACAAGACTTGTGGTGACAACTGCTTTGTTGAATGCTGTACATGTCATCAGGGTTACCACCAGACTTGTGCTAAGCCTCCTGTGCATGACGGACGGTCACAAGGAAAATGGACTTGTGAACTTTGTATATCAGCTTGCTTACTATCTAATAAGACCGATAAATCTTCTGCTGCTCATGTCTGCCAACACAAAACATCGCAAACTTTTGTCCGTCCAGACGAATATGATAGACAGAAATTATCATACAAGTTAGAGTCTCTTCACTGGGATGCTGGTCATAAAATGAACAAGGAGCAGACATACTGCTACTGCGGGGGCCCCGGCGAGTGGTACAACCGTATGCTGCAGTGCCGGCGATGTCTTCAGTGGTTCCATGAGGCGTGCATTGACTCGCTTCATTACAACCTAATATACGGTGACAGGTTCTACGTTTTTGTGTGTCACTGTTGCAACGAGAATTTCGGCGAGTTTGTTCACCGCATGGACGTGAGTTGGCTGGATGTAGTGCACTTAGCTCTTTTTAATCTCACGTTACTGGAGGGTAAGACTTACTTCGACATCGAGACGTGTATTCTAAGTTGGATTAACAACAACTGGGAAAGCCTCCAAGCTCCCCTGGAGCTGCAGAAGGTGTGCGTCGAGGACAGAGGCAGTGAAGTGCTGCGTGTTCTGGAAAGCAACAGGTCCCGCTTTAAAGGCGGCCGTGAGATGCGCAAGCAAGCGGGTGTTTGGGCTTTGCGTTGTCGCGTACCGCCTCCCGTGCCCTTTGTTTCCCTACCACTCGGTGCTGTGACAGACGAAAACGCCTCCCAACTGCGCCCCTCTCATCACCGCTCCAACACACACGCTAGCCCACCCCTGCCACGCACAGTGCGCCTCAGGGACGGCAGGAGCCGTGAGGTGCGCGGCATCAGCAGCTCTTCCATCCTTAGCCCCGTCAAGAAGCGCGCGCTCGTCCTGCCGCTATCGTCATCGTCCTCACTCGTGCATCACCTGCATGACAAGCTCGGTCGCTCCACGGCCACCTCCGCGTCCGCCGCTCTCGCCTACCGTGCCGGTCAGGGCGATGCTCCGCTGCAGCAGGAGGAAGCTCAGGAAGCTGCTGCTGGTGACGGTGCATCATTACCAAATGATGGCGACAGTCACAGAAAAAATAACAATAAAAAACGAAAGCGCAAAGGAGAGCTGGATAAACTAGTCGCGGACGATGGTTGTCGGAAGATTATAGGTGAAGTTACAAATGAGTTACGAAGACTGCAGATGTTGACTGGACAAATCGGGGTATGGAAGAGACGTGGGCGTCCAAATAAGAGTTTTTCAATGTCTGTCGAGAGTACGACGCAGGAAGCTAATCATAAAAGCTTGCATCCTCCTCAGTATCGTCGCAGTGTCAGCTGTTACTCCTCGTCATCAAGTGTAGCGGATGACTCGAGTGACGATACCTCTTCACGCGGCACTCTAGACTCCTTTATTCCGCCCTTGTCTAATTTTGAGGGTCACAATAACCCATTCCTTCATCTTTTTCCAACTTCAAAGGCTCTTCTTAATACATCGAGTAGACCTTTTAAAAAGAAACTTAGTGAGAGTGACATTCGTATTAATAAATGTGGGGAGGTAAAAAGACGGAAGTTCCGCAGAAAAAGATCTGGGCGCAATTCGGAAGTGTCGAGTTGCAGCGAATTTAACGAGGGTGCGGGTGATGAGTACGCCATTACTGGTGCTGGTGAGCGTGCGGCCGAGACCAGCGGTCTCGATAACTGCCTAAATTACGCCCTCACGGCTTGCTTTGCAGACCCATCCGCGCTTAATAAACATTCAAAGAATTCTTTCCGCAAGAATACTGTCGTGTCAGATTCTCTTGTATCATATTCTGATCTCAAGTCAAGTGTTAACAATTATTTCGGTGCTGCAAACCGCATTGCCAATGGTGAAAAATTCCACGTGTTAGCAAAACGGATATGTTGCGAAGGAAAACGAACACAGTACCTAATAGAGTGGGACGGTCCGAGCTCGTAGTACAAATGACGCAATGTTTGCCTCTCGATGTCCTTTCCATTCTCCGATAGCTTCAACTTATCACTGCCTTCAAAGTGAGTCATAAACTTAGGTTTAAGATTCTACTTACTTATAACTTCGATGAGGACTTGGCTTATCCACAAGTTAGACAATGCATGATTGTTGCATTGAAGATAACAAATATTGCGACTGCTTTAGATGAAAATACGCTCGTGCAAGCAATGTATCGAATGTAGATTGAAATGTGTGCATACTGCCTTGTTGCGTTGACATCTTAGGTTAATATCTTATTGTTGAAACTCTGTTTCTCTCCTTCATCTCAAGATGGTCCACTCAAGTACGAATTATTACCGAGTTCTTCTTAGAACGCATTGTAGAACCTCTTATGTTCTACCTAAGCAGGTTTGCTCTTGAAATTGTATAGATTAGTCCCGTCGCCTACGAGTTTTGAAAGCGCGAGGCTACGTTGTATGACGTTTTCCAATAATTTATGTTTACTGGTTTCTGTATTGAATCTTTAGTGAATGAACTGAGGGCAGATCGCTCTCGTTCTTTCTGAATGTCGATCGTCCTCTCGCGTGCTCTGCACTTAAAAATCTTCGATATAACATAAGTTTAATATGGCTATGAAGAAGCAAAAATTTTTCCATTTCTTTGCCTATTTATTAATGCCATCTACAACTAATCACGATTTTGGGAGCAAGATCCTTCTTACTCCCGGAACTGTTGAGTTCTGAACAAATTTAGTTGAATTGAGTCAATATTTTTAAATAAATTGAGTAAATAAACGTGCTTGAAGTTCTTTTTCATTTTGAGTTAGAAACTAGATTTGTTCCGATGTTCACGTAGTGTAGCTGCTTTGTGAAGTCAAGCTTGGATATATATTGTTTAATGCTGCCTTTGCTATCGTGTAGTTAACAAGGTATCATGGTAAGAGGCCACCCACACTCCTCGAGAAAAATTGTACCTGCTTGGGCGAGTCTTGCATGTTGAAATTGAAACTCGTCATTCGTGATCTCGGTAACCACTGTTCTTGTGATCGTTCGTGTATGAACAATCGCTGTGGTCTACGTTCTGATATGTCCTCGTTTGGCCATTTGCTGCTCTTCTTGTAAATTTTAATTTATTTTTGTTTTTATTTTTACGTAAGCCTTTGGTTTTGTATAATAATTGAGTATTATTTCTCATATGAAAAACTAGTGTAATTGTGAAAAAAGCTTTTGATCACTATTTTTGGGTTACTATGTTTCTTTTTATCTGAAAAAATTTGTGAGTGAATGCAAGGTAGCATGTGCTGAAAATAACCAGTAATTCGTGTGGATGATGTACCGTGTTGCGCGCTGCCGATGTTAAGGATGAACTTGTGACCACGAGGTGATTCCAATGACTGCGTTTTGAAATTGTATGTCAGTGAAGCACCTTATTCGCCAAAGAATTTTGCTTAAGTCATAGTTTAGCTATTGTTTCAAATAATAGGATAAGTACTGAGCAACAGCCGTGTCGCACTGTCACGCGTGATTGATTATTCAGGACTCGTAAATAACGCCCGTGTAGTCAAGTTACGGCACGCCCTTTTGTTATTGCCGGGAAGAATTGCGTCAGCTGACGCGGTCTGAAAGAATTGTTGGTCTGCAGGATTACGTTCATGGGTAACCACTGAGGTTCCTTCGGCTCAATCCTGCCTGAGATAATCGCTGATCTGTCCCTAAAACCTACACGCGACGTTAAACTTTTGCTTTTGTTACTTTGTGGACTGATGCTGCTTGTACATGTACAGCATTTGTTGGTGGACTGCGTCTATTTGTTTGTGCAGTGAACTCTCTGTCTTAAGATAAGTCTCATTGAAGAAGGATGATGTAAAGTTGTATACGTGTTTTGACTTAAAAATGGAAATAGAAAGGCCTTTCATTATCATTAGTTATTTATCAGTAACCTTCAACCAATGACCTCGAATTTCTTTCCAATGACCTCGTGAGCACTAGCGGAGACCTCCCTGTAACATTAATTTTCAGTCGTGTTTCTCACAATGTTATACTGAAGTACAACTCCCTTCTGGAATGTTTCGGTCGTAACTGGGAGAAACGTTGAACACTGGCCAATCTCTCCTATCTTATCCCACTCATTCTGCCGAAATTTGTACCCACTCTTCACTGTCAAGAGCCTTTTTTCGATGGTAACGGCTGTCATACGAAGACTAAAATCAATGAAGGAGTATTTCCGGCTGCCACCAACACAACCGATAAAATCTAACCAAAATAAGCAATTGCGCGTACGTGATTCTAACGATTATTGAACAGATCTCAGTCTAGTTCGGTTATAGTAGCGGGAGGTATTTATATCATTGTCATTTCTGATCTTTATTTGAATCGTCGTTCTTTTTCACACAGATCGTTCAAAGCTTTGTACAAAATTGAAATTTGCTTAATTAAAAGCCTAATAGCTGTTAATTAAAACGTAATTAAGTAGTGTTCAATATTCGTTAGTGTTCTAATTCAAAGCCGTGTTATATCCCAATACAGCTCACACAGCAAACGGAATTCGAACACGTGGATGTCGGCATTATGTATCAGTTAAATTTGAAGTGCTGACACAATACAACTCACCACGTGTCGAATCTTGCCACACGCAGTGATGGAATATACGGATTTGGTAGGTTTCCATTCTAAAGGCTTTTTAATAAATATGGCAACATTTTGTGACGTTTCATCATTGCTGACACGTAGTGCGGTGTTTTGAGAGTCACGTGAAGCCAACAGAACTTGCGTAACGCATACGGTTTTTTTATAGTTTTTCATTTCTCGATGCGTCCTTAATGTGTCGGAATATACCGCGTTTACCCTATATATGTATGTGCACAAAGTATGCACAAATGTAAACAATGCGGGCAAAATGGCGGGCAGCCACTTTACGCATCGGCACGCGTAAGGTATTTAATTTTGAAAGTTCCACCCAAATGTTTGCTGTCAAGCTAAGTACCTGCTTCAAGTACCTGCTTAGCTGAGGTGTGCAAGGGGTAACATTTGTGATAGAAATAAACATTGATATCGTATTTTGAAATTAATGAAAGATAATTTGAAATCAAGATTATAGTTTTTAGAGCATGCTCTCAAAATTTCAGAGCTCTGCAGCCATTTGGATAGTTTTTCTACCATGTCCTGTCGTGCAGTTTACATTCAGTTCAGTCATGAGCCAGTGAGGTACGCTGGTCCTGAACTACTGCTGAGACTGAGACACGAGACAAGACATGAGAGGGGACATGAGATGATACATGAGACAAGCTACGAGATGAGACATGAGACAAGGCATGAGATGAGGAGATTAGCATGAGACGAGACGTGAGACAAGAAATGAGATTGGACATGAGACGAGGCAGGAGACAAAACACGAGACGAGATGAGACAAGGCATGAGATGAGATGAGGCACGAGACGCGATGAGATGAGGCACGAGACGAGATGAGACGAGGCACGAGACAAGATTAGACGATGCACGAGATGAGATGAGGCATGAGACGAGATGAGATGAGGCATGAGACGAGATGAGACGAGGCATGAGACGAGATGAGACAAGGCACAAGACGAGATGAGACGAGGCAAGAGAGGAGATGAGAGGTGACATGACAATGATGATCATATTTAATATTATTAAATATCAATATTCAATAATATTTATTAGAATTAGTTAAGAATTGATATTAATAAAAATCAATAATATTATTATTACTAGTAAATTTTATTTGCATATTCTATTTAATTTCATATTTTTAAGCTCAATTATGGTGCCAAGGCCATGAAACTGAAATTTATTCCATCCAATTCTGCCTTTAAGTTAAGTTATAGCATTCATATCTAGCAGTTGCACCCATTTCCC